TCCCTGGAGAGTGTTACAGGAGAAGTGATGGTCCCTGGAGAGAGCTGGGCTTCAGTTAAGAAAATGAGTGACAAGTTTAGCAGAGAGATGAAAATGTAGAGAAAGGTTTGCAAAAGATATGACATGTCAGAAGGCAGACTAACAGCAAGGGCAGTAATGAGGAGCACAGAGCAGTCTAAGGAAGAGAATGTGTGAGAGGTTTATGAACTGATGATCTAGGTGATATTCAGACACAAGGACAATCAAGAACAACTATGGTTGTGGCTCTTTTTCACTGCCACATATAAGACAATTTTGTGCTTAAATAAACTAAGCAAGAAGATGGACAGCATGTTTTTGGAAACAGCTTGATATTAAATTTCTCTAGGACTTGAATTATTCAAATATCTAACAGTCACATCTTGTATTTGTCCTGGAAATATCTTTTCCCCCATTCTACCTCAGAAGAATACTTGATAACATCAATAGGATATATTCTTAGATCAATTTAAAATATCATTACTATTGTCACCTTTATTTTTCTTTTAACTCAATTTAAAATAAACCAATTAAGAGTATCAGTGAAGCTGTTTATGAAAGTAAAACACAAAAGAAATCTTTGGAGCTCTTGGGAGTTAAAATACTGATGCATTTCTCTCTTGTTAATTTAAATCTGGATGTATGAAGCACCTCGAGTTATTTCCAAATAAACTTATAAGCTAAATGTTCATTACTCAGTTGGTTGGCTGGTCAGTGGCTCAAACACTAGTGAGTGACTACAGTGTCTAAAACATTGTGAGAACAAATTGATGGCTAGACAAGCTAAGGTTTTGGACATTATAAAAACACCACTTAGAAATTAATAAATAATAATTTAATATTATTTGTAACAGGTGAATATTTTGACATGAGAATCTTTCTTCCTTTTCTACTTCCCTTGAATGAATGATTAAAGATAATAATAACTAATATTAATAATAATAAATGTGGATAAAACCAAAGAGCCCCAGGAAAACATGTTAAAAGTGCTATTCAACAAAATAAGTGAATGATGGTCTTTTTTTTTTAGAATCTAAAAATTTGAGGAAGGGGTACTATTCTCAAGTTAAAATATCACTACTTCTGTGTCATGTTAGCACTACAAAAGAAAATAAAAGCTTCTTCCAGACTATACTTGTTGTTGTTGTTGTTATGTGCCATGGAGTCTGATCCAACTCAAAGTGACCCCTCCTTGGATTTCCGAGGTGGTATCACTACGGAAGTAGACTGCCCCATCCTCCTTCTGAGGAGTGGCTGGTGGTTTTGAACCCAGCCTTCTGGTTAGCAGTCAAGTGCCTTAGGCACTATGCTACTAGAGCTCCCCCAGACTATACTAGTTAATAATGACTGAGTTGATGCACATAAACTTTGAAAACAAACTTTATCCATTCTTAAGGCATAGCAAGGCTTGCTTAGGTGGCATGGTTTCCTTCTTAGTTTTTCAAGTTCAAGGCTACCCTTGAACTTCATTTTAATGTACTTTCATCTACATAAGCATTTTCTTGGTGAGTTAAACAGGGCCATACACTTGTGATGTGGCTGCTTCTACAGCCCTTGAAAAGGCCTCACCTCTGCTTTCAAAACTGGAGTAGTCAAGGTGGAGCTAGCACAGTTTAGAACTTCCAATTAATTTCTATTAAATATTTTTTTTTTTTTTGCATGATTTCTCTTAACCAAAATTGAGATTATTAGAGAAATTTAGATCTTACTAATTATAATTGCAATGCTATCAACTTTAAAAAACAGTTGTGTCAAGTTGACTCTGACTCATGGTGACACCACGTGTGTCAGAGTACAACTGTGCTCCAAAGGGTTTTGAAGACTGATTTTTCAGACTTTGATGGCCACACCTGTTGTCCAAGGAATTTCTGGGTAGACTTGAACCGTTAACTTTTTAGTTAACAGCCAAGCATGTTAACTGTTTGTACCACCCAGGGAATCTGTTACCAGAAACCTACTACCAAATACCTTCTTTTCCTCAAATGAAAAAAAAAAAGAGAAATTTAGTTCACATGACATGTTAATTTACACATTTAAAAAAATACTTATACTTGTTTGATTACATGTTTAAAAAAACAAACAAGCCAACGACAAAGTGACTTTAGATTGGTATTGGTATCTCCAAAAAAGTCCAGCTCTTTCTGCAAAAAGAGACTCACACTAAAACACAAACAAACAAACATTCCAAAGCCAAAATAAGAGCAACAACAGAAAACTTCCAGCGTTGCCTTTGGGACTCCCAAGCAATTACTTGAGGGCTGCCATAGTGTAATTATTTAATTTCCTGGCTAAAACAGGGTAAACTGCAGCTTCTGCTGTTGCCAGACTGAACCAGAGAAAGGGCCTTTTCCTACATAATTATTTGCTATGATCCCGACTTAAAGCAAGCCCCATTGGGTTTCCAAGGTGATAAATCTTTACAGAAGTACATTGCCTGGTCTTCTTCCTGCAGAGTGGCTGGTGGGTTTGAACCACCAACCTTCTGGTTAGCAGTCAAATGCCTTAGGCACTGCACTATCAGAGCTCTTTGTTTGGTTTTTGGTTTTACACTTCAGGATACTGTCCTATTCAATTGTAGCATTTCCTTTTAAGATACTGCAGTATAGTAAATTACTTAGTGTGGCTTTTCTAGCCATAAGTCTTTGTAAACTCTGTGGTGGAATTTGCTGTGAGCAACCAAGGAGCTCCTGATTGTAAAAGTTATCCACCTGGGGTATTTCTGTTGGGTGCAACACAAAGCAATGTTCTGGGAGGTTCCTGCTCTCTGTCAGGTGCTTAGAATTCTGATGTTATGATTGGTTAGTTTGGCCACTTTGCCAGGCTCAAAAGAGGCCTCCTAGAGGCAGAAGAAGTCTCTCTGTGACTGCTAGTTGAGGAAGACATGCTGCTGAAAGAGACACGTGCTCCTGAGTGTCACCCGCTGCTGGGAAAGAGATGCAAGAGACACGCATTGCAGAGTGAGACACCGAAAAACACGCACAGCTGGGAGAGAGACTGTGAGAGACTGTTGGCTGAGAGATGGCGGGCTGGGGGAGAGACTGAGCATTTTTCCTGAACTTGAATTGTAGCCTGGTGCTTCCCTAATAAACCCCATAATCTGTGAGTTCTGTGTGGCCACTGCAGCGAATTATCGAACCCAGGAGACAGGTGGTGGGTGCTTCGGGAGGAACAGTTGGTGAAAGGGCTGGAGGGAGGCAGCATGTCTGGCCTTGCAGGAATAGACCTTGCATTGCTGATGGTGATCCTGTCTTCCTCTTGTGGGGTTAGAGGAGGTCAGAAGATGTGGCCTCTTTGCCTTTTTTGCAGATATATTGATCAGTAAAAAGACAACTAGGTACTTTTAATTCTATCTGATTCACAGCGAAAGCTTATATGGTCATAAGTTTGTGGTGTTGGCATTTTGATTATAATAAAATTACTGTCCTGAGGTAGTGACAGCTTTGACATCATGTGGAAAAATACACTTTCTCTCCTGAAGAAAACCCATCTCCCCTTCTACCCAAGTGAGGCCAAGATATCAGGTATTTGGAAAGTTTTAAATTAGACCATCTTTCCTGCTGCTATCAAAATCACTCCAAGATAAGGAGTTCCATCTCTAGAACCGTCCGGTAAACAAATTTACTGTTAATAGGAAAAAAATCCACAACCATACCAACTACTCAAAAATATATATCAGCCATTCTATTTTAAAAAATTGTGTTAAGACAGACATTCAAGTTAGAAAAAGTCTTTTTGTTGTCATGAAACACAAAGGCAAGTTCAATATCTAGATTCAAATCTGGAGTGTAATTTTTTTGTGTCAACTTTTGATTCCAGGAATAATTTCACTATTCAAAATCTTAACTGTAGAGTCTTAAGTGACAAATCTTTATCTAAAAATGACCCATTGATTAAACTATGTAATTTTTTCCCATTATTATTTTAAATGGGCTGCTTTATCAAATGCTTGGTGTATTAAGATGATTCAGTACAGGAATACAACACAGAAGAATAGTACTCTTTAAGGCAAAATATAAGAATCAAACATTGAGTTTAGGTATTTAACATTATATTTATGTATACTTTCTTCAGTCTTGTAAAATGGCAAGTCTGGCAATAGTTGTCCATTTTACTGCAGTCATTCCATGTCCAATTTCAGGAAGTGCAGATGGAACTTACTAAAATACTCCTTCTTCTCTTTTCCCATTTTTATGGTCTCCTATGCTGCATTCTTTGTCATAAGAACACATACATGTACTTACATTTTACAATAATGGATGTTGTACCAGAAAGATTAATTATCCAAGACAAAGTTAAATACCAATATAGACATACCTCATTTTATTGCAATTCAGTTTATTAGGCTTTGCAGATATTGCTTTTTTTTTTTGCAACCCTGTATCAAGCAAGTCTTGGTGCCATTTGTCTAGAATGTACTCACTTCGTGTCTCTGTGCCACATTTTGGTAATTCTCACAAAATTTCAAACTTTTTCTTAATACTATTGTACACTTAATAGACTATAGCATAGTGTAAATATAACTTTTATATGTATTAGGAAATAAAAAACCTTGTGTGACTCACTTTATCACAATTGCGATATTCACTTTATTGTGGTAGTCTGGAACCAAGCCTGCAATATCTTTGAGGTGTGCCTATATCAACCACATATGTTCTTCTATATGTTGCATTACATTTGCAGAAAAGTTAGGAAAGAGCCCTGGTTGACAGAGTTAAGTTCCATGGCCAGAAAACGTGTTTGGATTTTTTCAATTAACTACACCTATAAATTTAACTATGGATTAGCTTTTTTTTTAATATGAAAAATTAAAGATCACATACAAACCAAATTCATGTAATATTTTCTTTAATATTTAGTATTTTCTAAGTAGCCATAGCATTTTTATACAGAAAAGTGAGATCAGGTCTTTTGAAGAAAATGCAAATGGGGGAAAAAGGACGAGGAACTATAAATTAGAATCTGGTATGCTATGTACTACTTACCTTCAAAAGTCAAATAAAACTTTCCTCTGTCAAACCAAACGAGGGAAGGCTGTTCATTCTCTGTATGGCCAGGAGTTGAAGCGGGATGGGAAAGGTTAAGGAGAGGGAGAGAGAAGGACATAGTATGAGTTACAGAGCAGGTCATTAATCTCACTACAGGGTCGGGTGGAGGCATGGCATGCCGTTAACGTGCAGGGAAAAAAAAAAAGGGAAGGCTGGCAATCTATGTTTTGTTTTAGTTCGGGAAACAGAAAGCAAAAGCAAAGCCATGGAGGCCTAAAGGGATGGACACGTGTTGCTGGCGGCTGGATATTTGGTGTGTGTGTGCATGGAGCAGAAGTCTTCCTGGCCATGCAGGGGTGTCAGCATATTTTAACTGCGCTAGTTTGGGCAAACTGTCATTCAGCAATTGCTGTATCCATTTCATCTTCGATGTTATCCCCTTCTATGTTTTCACAAAAAGATAAAATTGGAGTTATGGGTTGTATAAAACGTTAGCTTCAGTTTTAAATGACAACAACATTGCCTATCAATTTAAAATTCCTGGAAGACGTCATATGTCTTCCAACCCCTCCCCTGGAATCACCTTATACATCCAGACACAAAACACCCTTTACCTATATACCAAAGAGGAAACAAAGTTACTAATGCTGCTCTATTAGTTTTAAAATTAAAAAGCAGTCACTGGACGTGTTATTTTGAGCAGTTAAATTATTCCTTCCTATGAAAATTCACAAAGCCGTAGCATCTCACCTGTTTTGAACCCTTTCACTGAGAAACTGTCATGCAACCTGCTGCTTTGTAATATGTTCAGTTAAAAACTTTTCAGTGGCATGAGTTCCACGATGGACAGAGAATATACAGGGTGCATCTGAGAGGCACTGGACACTCATGAGGTGAGGAGCATGTCCATGAAGTTTATAGCATTCAGATGGCGTAATGGCTTGGATTTTTAAAGTCTAAGTGTCTAGACAGATCACTCGCTAGCACCGTACCTGCAGGCGTTTCACAGTGCCTTTCAAACGAGGGCAGTTTGTCATAAAAAACATCATCTTCTGACACTACGAACCAAAGAAACATAAAGGAATGGAAAACAAAAACACAAATACAAATCCCAAATGAAACCAAGCAGCACACTTTACTGATCAAAACATAAGAAATGATTCCAATGGAAAAAAGAACAAAACTTAAGTCAGTGTTATGAGTATTTGATGATATGGCTATTTTATGATAATTCTGTGAGAAGAAATTAAAGTAAAATAATAAAAAAGAAAAAGGCGAGGTTTGAGCATCTGTGAATTTGGCTGAAGTCAGCCCCATGGTGGAAGTCATAGTCCTTCTTCTCAGGGAGTTATTAAAAGCGTTATCATTAATAATTGACTTGTGTGAGTGTGTTTCACTCCCACACAATTCTCAAGCAGCCAGACATGTATCCATCAACAAGAACCGCTGACAGAGCACTGACAGCTCAACAGGATCACCCAGCATGCACCTTTCCTCCATGGGGAAAAAGAAGCTTTTAACATGACAATAAAAAGCAACAGTATCAATCTGAGGTCCCTGCATGAACCATCCCATTTCAGCCTCATCAGTATCCAAATTGAATTTGCCTTGCACCTGCCTTTGGTAGTTATGGACTGTTAATTTTGAACAGCATTATTGTACTTCCCTCTTTGGCTATGGACTCCAGCTGTGGCCAAATGTTGTAAATTGGTCACAACGTCATGATTTGATGCTCTAGACCTCAACTGTTCCAGATCTTTGAACATGGTCTCCCTCCTCACTAATACACACAGGCAATTGGGGTTTTTCCACTAAGTGATTTTTCAAAAAGCCCTCAATGCCACAGGTTCGATGGGTATTATTACAATTTCAATAGAAAACAAAGTAAAATCTGGACAAAGACCAATAATGGAGAATCCTACCCACAATGTAGAGATGTAAGATAAGGCAATGAATGAGGATAAATAGTAACATTCCTTGAAAAATATTCTATTAGTTTGCCTTCTTGACTTAAAGTCCAAGGCAGACAAGCTTCTTTGTCAATATTTAAGGTTGTAGGATATCATTTGTCCATTACAATTTTTATTATACATGTGGCTTCCTTGGTAGCTAGAACAAGTTAAAGTAACTTCTGCTTATCTGTGGGAGAGGAACAGGACAAAGAGAACTGGCAGTAAAGGGCACTCAACAATGTCTCTGGAAAACAGGAAGCCAGACAGTTACATTGTCAGTAACTGGATATAAAAAGTTGTCTTTCAGACTCACTTGCGGGAAATGGCAGAAGGTATTCCTTATTCTGAAGAACTGATTTCCTATTTACAATCTCCTTAAAATGAGGAACCTCCAAGACTGCCACATATTCTTTGCACTGAAATTACAATCAAATAGTTTCCTAAGGATTGAACAGTAAGCATACTTAAGATTTTCTTTATGGTGGTTATAGACTTTGTGGGCTTAGGAAAAAAAATATCCTAAATGAGAGAATTTTTTTTAAAATGAACCATTGGATAGGTCTGTGCTTGGTTTAAATAAGGACAACAACCAAATTAAGTGCAGAGGGGAAAGTTTCCTTAAGGAGTAACCATGGAAACTGCCTCAAAATGGGATGAGAATGCTAATACTGAAAGCCACCTTTCAACAAAAAATTGCATAAGGAAAAAAAGAAGACTAAAATAAAAGGTGAGAATTTTTTATTGGGATGACAAATATTCAGTTCCAAAAATCTGTCTTTATTTTTGCATAAAATAATTGGCAGTTAATACAGGTATTTTTTATTTTTTACTTTTTTTTTTTTTTTTTTAGAAAGTTGTTCAATTCAGAAAGCTTGGAGAGACAAAGGCTTAGATGAAATATTTTACGTTTTAGATGCTGTGGTTACTATCTCACTACTAAATTGAATTTACTTCTGCTCCAAGTCCATATGCTGCTTCTTCTGGTGCTTATAAATGATCACACTTCAATCATTACAGATTCCTGGGATGCTAAAGATGCAATTTAAAATGCATAATTAACAGTGAAAAAATATACTTAACAGTGAACTTAACAGTAAATAAAAATTGCCTTTATGGTAGCCTTTTTGTGGTGGGGTCCTAAAGGGAGATATTACCAACATATTAAAAAAACCCTAATATTAAATATAAAAATAAGTAAAAAAGAAAGATGGATATTTACAAGTAGACATAATGCCCTGTTTTAAACAGAGAGTTAAATGTCTAAGAGTTTTTTTTTAGAATAATTTTTAATATTTTGTCTATCTCCAAAATATTAATAGGAATTACTTCCCCGGAGTCAAAGAGTGAAGAGCCTATGAGCTTTTTAGAGTATAAAAAGAGTTTACTATATTTCACTGATTTTAAAATATGTATTTTTTTTTCACATCTCTAAAATTGGGGTGGATCTTATAATCAATGCCATCAAAATATACTGCATCTTTGCTTAATTGACATCTTCCTGCCCTCTTTGTTAGTCATATATAAAATAATGATATGTCTTATATTCAAAGGGACCTCTGGTGGCGTAGTGCCTAAGGCATTTAACTGCTAACCAGGAGGCTGGCGGTTCAAAACCACTAGTCACTCCTTGGAAGGAAGATTGGGCAATTTACTTCTGTAGTGATATCGCCTCAGAAACCCAAAGGGGAGTCGCTATGAGTTGGATCTAACTCAAAGACAGTGAGGTTTTTTTTTTCTTACATTCAAGGGTATCTTGAAGTTAATGAAATACAGTCACATAGAAGCTCTTCATTATTGAAGTGTGACTATACACAAAAAGGCTTTTCAAGAGTGGCATCTGACTGACTATTTCATAATCACAGCTCTCATAAAAGATGTTATGCTTCAAATCCCTTACAGATATTTTCTTATATGAATTGTTGTGTAAGAAGACAGATTAGACTTGCTTATAAAAATTTAATGCTTATTTTGTTCCTATCACACCCACAATTTGGCTCAAGTGTCACGGGGAATGTCAAAAACTATTGTGGTGGCAGCAGGAAAATGTTGAGCCATTAACATCAGGGAATTTACTGCTGAAATTCTCTACTTCAAGTAAGCTACTTAACTCTATTAAATTGACATTCCACATAAGTCATGGAGAGACCCCTTGGTGCTGAACAGCCAAAGCACATCCTCTCCAGAAAGAGAGAAACAGCAATGCACAAGAAGCTGCTGGGCAGTCAGTCATTTGACGATGTATTTACTTCAGAGAGAAGTGGCTGTCAGGTGACCCACAGCAGCAGGAGGAAATAAAGAACAAGAGGATGAGGAATGCAGTGGGAAGATGAAAACCAAATAAAAATGACAGAACCAAACAGATTAAGTCAGAACGTCCCTCAGCAATGAAGCAATGTGACTATCCTCTCATGTGACTATTTTCTTTTTAACCCTTCTGTGGTTCGTCTTGAAAATACACATGTGAGGTGTGATAAGAATCAAAGCAGCTGGCTAAGATTTGAGATTTCTGCAGCAGTGAGTATAGAAACACAATGTAAAACATGGACATAATTCAAGTTCCCCGTGTGTGCAGTTTTCTCTGTGAATACACAGGAGTTGAAAGAACATGGAAGAAGTTTCATCTGAGGTCATGTGGGGTTGACTTTCTGAGTAGTTAGCTCTTCTTCCTTTTTTAACCAATAAGGTAAATCACATGGAGTGGGTGGAACACATGATCTTGAGGGATAAAAAAAGCAGAGGAAGAGTGGAGAAATTGTCTATAGCAATCAACGAGGGCTAAAGAAGCAGAGTTCAAAACCAGAAAAGAGAGAAATGGCTAATAGACATCTAAAAATAGAAAGCCTCAATATACCAATTAATGATGCAGACAAGAAATGGACTTGACTATATAAATAATGGTAAATATATGTCTATTAATAAGTCATATAAAACAGGTAGATTTCTGTATTTTCTCCGAATTTGATGAGGATGTTTGGGATGGTGTGATTAAAAATACAGAACATATGATATAAATAAACTCTCTTTGGGGGCTCTAAAGGACCCGCCTTAAAGACAGGCATTTTTTCTCCAGAAGAGCTTGAGGCTTTGATCAAGCTGCTTCTCACATGAGCAATTCTACAGCATGCTCTTTGGTAAACAGCAACAATAATTTATTTAACTTTGATTAATGATTCTCCCAAGCAAAGCAGGATGGATCAGCTGTCTTTTAATACAGAAGCCTGGGAGAGGTGTTCCAGATAATAAAGGAAGAGAGTGGGGAATGGGGTTGCATGGCAAAGAAGGAATGGGAAAGCCCCATGTCAGACAAAAGAGACACCATGCAAAAATGAGAGAGGCAGTGGGAGCTATGGAAGCTGGGTGAAATGGTATTGAGAGAGACCAGGTTTGGGAAGAGGGAAGCCACTCCAGGCAAAACAAGGCATTTAAACCTGGGAAAGCCATCCAGCTAAGCAGCCACTCTCAACTCTTCACTTTCATCACACCATAATGAAAGAGGTACAAAGGCATTTACTGAAAATGCCAGCAATGAATTATTTCTCTGGGAAAATTGATCACACATCACTGAAAAACACTAAAAGAAAAAAAAAAAAGATTTCACAAAGTTTGCTCAAGTCACACAATGCTAATGTTTATACCATTTGTCAAAATAAGGAAAACAAAAAGGATGAAGAAATGAAAGATTGAAGAAAATAGAAGTTTTAAATTTTCTGATTTCTGATGTATTGTTGTTGTTGTTATGTGCCGTCGAGTCGGCCCCGACTCATAGCGACCCCTCCTTGGGTTTCCGAGGCAGCATCACTACGGAAGTAGGATTGCCCAACCTTCCTTCCGAGGAGTGGCTGGTGGGTTTGAACCGCCAGCCTTCTGGTTAGCAGTCAAGTGCTTTAGCCACTATGCTACCAGAGCTCAATTTCAATAAACATCCCCCCCCTCAAAGGAGACTACTCTTATTACAAGAAGTAATATCTAAATTACAGGACCTTATTTGGTGATTTCTTCTTCAATTTTAGGAAGAGCTTTATATGTAATACCATAAGAAAATTCCTGCAAAACACAGGTGTTAAGGTTCTTTCATTTATTTATTTACTTGACATTTCATTCATTTATTTATTTTGCCTCCTTTGCTGAGAAGGTGCTTTTAAAAGAAGAGTCAGATGACAGTAGCAAAACATATAGCAAAACAATTTTGACCAGAAACATAGGGGCCTAGGGGATTTCAGACCATGTAAAATAGCCAGTAAACACCACAAACAGATTAAAAGAGAAGAGATAATTTTTACCAACTGTGGGAGTGGTAGCTGCACTCAAGGAATTGGTGGATGATATTGAAGAAGTGCTTTCAGCCCGGGCTAGGGGCGCTATCGGAGGAGGGCTGGAAGAGTGTATGGGAGGGCTAAAAGGTCTGGACTGCAGGGAGAAGAAGAGATGAAAAGTTAGACATACAAGTTGTAGTGCTTTCATGTTTTTAATGTCTCCCAGTCCCAGATATAACAACTTGAGCTCTTAAAGGAATACACATGAAACCAATTTTACACTGGAATTGATTCAATATACCTAAACGGGAGCTTGTGGAATCTAGCTAGAGCAACCACAAACAATAAACATGTTAAACTCAATACGTATGCCCAGGTTTAGAGAAGCTGGGATCTGTGATGTGATCAGTGGTTCTGTTTCAGGACTGTGAACTCAGCCTTCAGGGGCTAAGCAGATAATAAAACATGAGAGCTCATAGCTATCTAAAGAGGTTCAAATACAAAACTCTCCATTGTGCTAACAAACAAAAAATTATGGGCATCATCAATGTGTTACTCCTGTGTGCAGATACCAAAGAAATTTGCCTCCACCGTAAATCTCATGACAAAAGATAAACATTGCTTTCCTTTTTCCCCAGGCTTAATATACAAACCAAGAAACTTTTGGAACAAATTCACAGGGACACGACTCTCCTTTTTAAATTCATGCAGTGTGCCTACCACTACTACCAATAACTTTTCTGTAGTCAGAAATAAGGACATGTCCTCCAAAATCAGATAAATATTATGAAAGGAACCATTTCTCTTTCTAAAGGATTTGGCATAATTGAGCATTGCTACCTTAATTTTCATCAAACTGTACTGTAGCAGAGCTGCCTATTAAAATGTGCATCCATACTGCAGTAACTCTCATATGCTAGCTGTAAGGGCCATTTGTACTATAGCTCTAATGCTTAGATTTAAAGTTGGGATGCTATGTGTTTAGGCATTTTTGAGTTTTTGTTTGTCATTCTCACAGCTTGTTTCTGAGCAAGCCAGGGGAAAGGGGAACATACCACATCTCCGACTCCAGGCTTTCCTGGAGGTAGCTTTGGCCGAGATGGAGGCCGGGGAGGAGGTGGAGGTGGGGTAGTGCTGCTGCAAGAAGCTAAGGGAGTGGCTGGTCGAGCAGGAGAGGACGCACCTGAAAAATAAAGTGGCATTAGAAATGTCTGGAAACGTCCATGGCCAAAGCACTGTCATCGTTTGATCCCTCCTTCCCTGTTCCCATGGCAGCAATGTCAGTCCTGCTTCATATCAGCAGTTACTAGATCAAATACTATATAGCACATGATATTTTTTTTTTTCAGGAAAAAAAAAATTCCTCAGTTCCACTATGATTAGTGGCAGAAGCTGAAGCTCATTGCCTTTTCTTTGTCATACAGCACCCAGTGAAAGGTAAATCCGTTTATTGCTCTGTGACAGAAAATACATTCTTAAGATTCTTTTGACTGCATGGTGGATGCCTTTTATTTTGACTACATGCCCACCAAAATTATGATGAATTTTCCTATTTTTTTGTATATGTTCAGAACTTATTTATGTCGAATAAGGAAACGTAAGTCAGAACTTGAAGGACTATGGATGATTTTTCTACACTGTTGTTGTTATGTGCCATCGAGTTGGCCCCGACTCATAGAGAGCCCTCCTTGGGTTGCTGAGGCAGTATCACTAAGGAAGTAGATTGCCCCATCTTCCTTCCGAGGAGTGGCTGGTGGGTTGAAGCTCCAGCCTTCTGGTTAGCAGTCAAGTGCCTTAGGCACTACGCCACCAGAGCTCCTTTTTCCACATTAGATTTGTGTTTTACAAAGACGAGTAAGAGGATTACCCTGTACTTCAAAACATGTGCTGAAACTGTAGAAATTTGCCCAAACACCTGGCATTAAGCAAAAGAAAAGATAGTAAGAAAAGAAAATAGATGTAGCAGAAGTATTTTATATCTAGAAGTTTAATAAACACATTGAATTTAGAGGATTTTTTTGAAGGAAGCTTCTTTGTGACCTGTCTATGTAGACTTGGCTCATGATGATTTTTGTGATGTTTTTGAAAGAGCCATTAGGATTTACCTTTCCAGGTGTCAATGACAAGCATATGAAACAAAGAAGACACACAGAGGCTGGCATGCACATGACAGGACACCGCTGGAGTCTCTGTACACAGGGGCCTGATATTAAGTCAGACATCTGGGATACCTGGGAAAACCACTTGGCTAAGTACCTTAAGAAAGTCAAATCAATATTCAAACAGGTCTTGTTCAGAAAAGTTCCAATGACCCCTGAGGCTTTGTCACTTTGGTGAGAGAGATACACATACAATCATACCAAGAAAATGCTAAGAAATCCTGTCCCAGGAAAATATCCCCTCTCCACTGGCATGCCCAAATGTGTGCATATGGCATGCCCAGATGTGTGCGTACACACACACACCACACTTGAGAGTCCTAAACCAATTTTAGTCTCCATAATTTCCTATTCTCAAAGTACTTTGAAGTTGAGCATCAAAAACCATCTATGAATTTACTTCTCCAGGGAGTCCATGGGGATAAACCCTGCTCCTCTTGTTTAAGCAACCTGAAATCTTGGATGTGTTTGTCTGTGCTATTTATTCTAAATGTAATCACATTAGTGGGAAACCTTGCTAATTACTAATATTACTCCCAGCCTACTCCCTCCACCACACCTCTGTCTCTACATCTATTTTCTTAACATATTGTAAATTTTTATTTCTATTGAGTCAGGATCTATGCTAGGTACTTGCTATGTATTATCTATTTAATCCTCACAGTAAGTTTCTGAGGTAGGTATATCAGTATCTGGGGAAGGAAACTAGGGCTCAGAGATATTCAGTAACTTGCCCAAGGTCACACAGTTCAAATGGTCTATTTAACACCAAAGCATAAGCTCTTAAATATAATCTCTGGTAGTTTTAAATAGACTGTGAAGACCAACATTTTGGATAGTCTGTTTCTATTTTTGAATAGGAGCTATGGTAGTGGAGTGCCTAAGGCACTTGATTGCTAACCAGAAGGCTGGTGGTTCAAACCCACCAGCCACTCCTCAGAAGGAAGGTTGGGCAATCTACTTCCATGGTGATACTGCCTCGGAAACCCAAGAGGGGTCGCTATGAGTTGGGGCCAATCGATGGCACATAACAACAACAACAACAACATAATGCCAATTAAAATAGCTATGTGTGGCTAGTGGTTACAGTATTGGACAGAGTAGCTCTAAAAAGACTATAGTCAGAAAATTGTTGTTTGTTGCTGTAGAGTTAATCACAACTCATGGAGACCTTGTATTTGTCAAAGAACTGCTCCATACGGTTTTCAAGGCTGTGACCGTTCAGAAGCAGATCACCAGGCCTGTCTTCTGAACTGCCTCAGGATGGTTCATTTGGTTAATTCAACCTTGTATAGCTCACATATACTTGTTTATGAGTCAATGTGTGTATAACAGCTATTAATATTGTTTTAGGTTCTCAAATTGGAAAACATTACACTGAACATTCTATTGCTACTACCATGTATCTTTCCTGGTCCCCAAACTTATTACAAACCAATAAAACTCTCCTTTTCATCCCTAGCACACAACCCACATGGGATAAATGGCAGTCTTTGCCAAGAATCAGTCTGCATTCCAATAAAGCAATATTCTGGCCATATAAGGTATTTGTAACATTTTGCCATAAGGAAAATAAAGTTCTTGGAGCAAATTCTTAACTTCCAACTGTCTTTTACCAGCAGCTAACTCTTGTGATTCATAAGGCTGTAGATACTGTTTACACTTGGTCAGTGACACTCATCTTGCTATGAATGAAATGGAAAATATAAGCACAGTAATATCCAATTAAACACCACTTGAGAAGTATAGGAAAAGTTAGTTCCATCAGGCTGCATGTTATAAAAATAGATAGTGAGAGGTATTGCTAATCTTTAAAACAAGAGGCCACATCCTATTGTTTTAATCCCAAATTTACATTTCTGCCAGTCTGTGTGTGTTCCATCAATAAAAGATTAAGCAGCAAATAAACTGGGACTTAATTAGGGAGATAATGGTGCAAAGTTTTATTTATTCATGGACTTCACTGGCCCAGTTCAATATCCCACTTAGAAATTCAATCCTTTAATACCAGCAAAGTACAGCTTTTCCTGCTCAATTATTAAGAATCCATAGTCTTTACTGTAACATTTTTAAATAATTTCAAATAAGAATATGGTAGCTAAACATTAAATAAGAAAATTCTCAAAGATTCCAGGAAGAAAGTCAAAGCTTCTGTCTTCACTCATTAGATCAGTAGTCAATTCAATTGTGGAAGGTGATAGAGGAAACACAAAGGAATATAAAAGCCCACTCCCCACTGATGGTGTTTACTTTGAGAAGAGCATAGTGACCCATTGCTGGAGGTGAATAAGCATTCCTTGAGAAGCCTAGTCCACGAAAAACGTTCCACAGAAAACACTGGAAGCACAGTCCTCTCTTAAAACCTGACAACTATCTTTCTTTTCTAAAGTAGGGCAGTCAGTCAGAGAGCCAAAGTCTTCACATAAAAAATCAAAACCCCACTGCCATTGAGTCGACTCTGACCCACAGTGACCCCCATGGAGTTTCCAAGGCTGTAACTCTTTATAGAAATAGATTGCCTCATCTTCCCCCCATGGAGCAGGTGGTGGGTTTGAACTGCTGACCTTCTGGTTAGCAACCAAATGCCTTACCCACTATGCCACCAGAGATCTTTATAAATCTTCACATAGGGGCCCTAAGACTTAAAAAAGCAATAGAGGGAAGGACCTGGGCTCTCTAACCTTCTTGAATATAGAAAGGAACACAATGGAGAGAATAATTTTGGTGACCTTGTTGATAGCAGTTGTGCAGTATAGGTGAGTGTTAGTGGTTGGTCAAATAAGCTTGAGATGTTTGTAACTAAACCTTACAAGGCTGTCTAGATACCATAGTGGTTAATAACACATGCTTAGGATCAGATAGACCTGTGTTTGAATCCTAAGTCTATCACCTGTAGCTATGTAAACTTGAGAAAATTACTTGACATCTTTTTGCTTCAATTTTCCTTGTAAAAATAGAGGAAAATAACAGTATGCACCACATGGAGTTGTTGTGAGGATGAAATAATGTACATAATGTACACTTTAGAATGATTTCTAGGACAAGAAACTATAGCTGTTGCCTTTACAGGCAAACTAATGGCCCTGAGAGGTCCCATGGCAAAGAAACATGCTGCTATTGTTTAAAATTATGCTTCCCAAATTTATTTGTGTATTGAATAGTTCTCTTTTTTTGTTGGGAGAAGGGTACAGGAGTATATCTACTGATACAAAACATTGGTTTTGTGTGCAGTACACACAGCTAACACTGAAAGAGACTCCATTGAAAGAGGCAGCAATGATGACTGAATATAGAGGCAAATGCCTTTCTTTTCTGTCTCTTACTACATATAAGTAACATATCTAGTCTCCTCTTTCAAAGCAAATGAAAAACAAATAACAGAGGTCACCTCATGGAAGGTGCCTAAACTGCACTCACATGCATAGGAGGAAAGAGTCTGGAGGATTTAGCCAGAGAAACTTGAGTAACAGTGGAATAAATGAGATGTAAGAGGATGCACTAATAATAGGAGCTCTGGTAGCATAGTGGCTAAGACACCTGCCTGCTAACGAGACGGCTGGCGGTTCAAACCCACCAGCCACTCCTCGGAAGGAAGGTTGGGCAATCCTACTTCCGTAGTGATACTGTCTCAGAAACCCAAGGAGGGGTCGCTATGAGTCGGGGCCGACTCGACGGCACATAACAACAGCACTAATAAAAATCTTGTTACTTCTTTGGTATGTATGGCAGGTGTACATATTGTTTCATAATTAGAAAACACAAATGAAGGAAAATGAAAAAAATAAAATTCAATGTTAAAATTTGCATCTGGAGTCCCCAAAGGTATATTTCTGATAGTTTGTTTCCATCACCTGTCTCCATACTTTGAGCTGACATCATGGCCAAATGCTCAAACTGACAACAGTTTTGTTTTTGGTAACAGATTGATTAGGTTGGGGATAAAATAAGGCATCTTCCTTTTGCTTTAGCCTCAAATCATCATTTCAAATTCTGCTTTTTATTCCAAAGAAATTAGACTGGTCAATATGAACCCTTCAATATCCCCTGCAACATAGATACACAAATGAACTATGAAGATTTAGAATCCCTGTGAAGACATGTGACAAGGAAATCAGACATTTAACACGAAACTCATCCACTGTGAGATGCAGTTTTCTAGAACTTTCTTGAATTCCAAACAATGATATCACTGTTTGCTTTAAAGTACACACTTCCTAATTGCAGGGTTGGAGGCAAGGCACTCCTAGGGGCTGGGAGTACAGGGCAGAAAACATCCACAGACTTGGACTAGGACTATGAGCATTCGATGAACTAGGACATGCCACAGGGCCACAGAACACCCAAACCAAAAAAGGAATAGCTGAAGCTCTAAAGCCAACTGCCAGGCAGGAGAAGGGTATTGCTCGCAAGGCAGCAGGCACGGCCATTCCCTGTCACACGAAGCACACCAAACAGTTAAGACCTACCACTGGCGGTCCCCGTACCACTGCCGGAGCCAGGTCCAGGGGATGAAACCACAGTCCTGTAGGTGGGTGGTGGTGGGGGAGGTGGAGTTGCTCTCTGTCCCAACCCAAAATCTTTAGGAGATGCGATTGTTTCTAAGTAATCATCTTTAATGAAGGTCTGCTCAGCAACTTTCTTCTGGACTTCTTCTAAATTGAGTGGCGATGGTACATTGCGAGGAGGACCTGGAGGACCAGGAGGGCCAGGGGGTCCTGCGAGGGCTGGGGAGCCAGGAGGACCAGGAGGCCCTGGAGCAGGGGGCTCAGCTGGGTTGTCTGATGCCGCTGGTGGGGACACCACCTTTTCCTTTGGAGTCAACTCTGGAGTAACATGTTCCGGGGATGTATCAGAAAAATGGACCCATTTTTCTTCAGCATTAACAGCAACAGACTTGGGGGACAATACTGGGCCAAAAATGCTGTCCAAGTCATTGATTGATGGTAGTTTTTCAATTTTGACCTCTGTTGCTGACTGGTCACTTCCTGTGGTTAAAGTAGTTGATTATAAACTTTAATTGGCTGTGTTAATATATTGGGGTGGGGGTGGGGAGGAGTCATGAAAGCTACAAGCATGAAACAAAACTTGGTAAATATATTGCCTTGAGAGATGCCTCAGTGGGTTATTTTATGCTGTAAAAATATCTGCATTGGATTAGGAGCTGAAGATGAGGGAAGAATTCCATTTTTCTGCTTCCATCATTGTTTTATGCAATTAGTTATCCTTTTCCAAGATACACACAGTTAACTACTTTTATCATCATTAAAGTGATGAGCATGATATGGCTCTCAAAAACTGCATACAGGTGGACAACTTGGACAAAAGTGACGTTTTGAGAAGGTATTGTCAGGTTTACAGAAATATGGACTCTGGAACTACAAATTCTAAATGTGAGGTTGCTTTTGAAAATCTGCACTATTAAAATAAGCACAGCACAGTGTTTTTTATTTTCAGTACTTTGGTATTTTATAAAACTTGTCTATTTAGGATATTAAATGAAAATGTTTGATAAACTAATAACAGTATCTGTTGGTTTAAAAATTATCACATCATAATGAGTTGTTTATACCAGAAGCACTGTACAAAGATCATTTAAAGAGATATACACATATATTTACTAACACACACATGCACACCCCACACACAACACACACATAAATTATTGAGAAGGCTTTTGGTGCTTATTAGAACTGTTAGATGTCTACCTGTTTAATAGGAAGGAAATTATAAAAGTATCTTTATCAATTCTTCCATCTTCCAAGTCTAAACTGTTAATATCATTGTCATGGCAGTGATGTATATCTGATTGAAATCAATGACATATAAAAGTCTGTTTTGCCTAAACATTATAGTCAGATATTCTTTTTAATTCATCTCAGAAACAAAATAAAAAAAAATTAAAAGCTATCTTCTACAACCTGGAATGAAATATTTGATAACAAATGACATGAGAGGAACTGTACTTTTTTTTTTCAAATGGTGATTATTCAAATTAGAAAGTGTTACCCAAATAACTGGAAGGCATGGGCAGATGCTTAAAGAAACAGAAGCCATTTTACCATTGAATAACCTTTGTGCTAAAAGAATTGGCTTAGTACTTCCATATTTCTAGTTTGAAAGGAATTAACCTTCAAGGTTCCAATGTGACAGATAAATTGGGCAGCACTTTGCATAATCCACAACATCTATAATTTTTGTTGCTTGTTTGTTGTTGTTGTTGTTGTTGTTAGGTGCCATCAAGTCATGCCAACTCCGAATGGTCCAGTGTACAACAGAATGAAATACCTCCCAGTCCTATGTCCTCATAGTTATTGCTATGTTTGAGCCCATTGTTACAAACACTGTGACAATCCATCTTGCTGAGGTTCTTTCACTTTTTTGCTGACCCTCTACTTTACCAACCAAGATGCACTTTTCCAGGAACTGGTCCCTCTTGATAACCTGTCCAAAGCATGTGAGGTGAAGTCTCACCATCCTGACTTCTAAGGATTATTCTGGCTGTACTTCTTCCAAAAAAGATTTGTGTTTTGTGGCAGCTCGTTGTTGTTGTTGTTGTTGTTGTTGTTATGTGCCGTCAAGGCTGGACCTGACTCATAGCGACCCCTACTTGGGTTTCCAAGGCAGTATCACTACGAAGTAGATTGCCCAACCTTCCTTTCAAGGAGTGGCTGGTGGGTTTGAACTGCCAGCCTTCTGGTTAGCAGGCAAATGCCTTAGGCACTACGCTACCAGAGTGCCTCTGGCAGCTCATAGTATATTTAATATTCTTCATCAACACCACAATTCAAAGGCATCAGTTCTCCTTTGGTCTTATTCATTGTTCAGCTTTTGTGTGCACATTGAAAGTACCATGGCTCGGGTCAGGTGTGACTTAGTCTTCAAAGTGACATCTTTACTTTGTAATGCTTTAAAGAGGTCTTTTGGAGCAGATTTGTCCAAGGTAGTATGTTGTTTGATTTCTTGACTACTGCTTTCATGGGCATTGATTGTGGATCCAAATAAAATGAAATTCTTGACAACTTCAAACTTTTCTCCATTTATCATGATGTTGCTTATTGGTCTAGCTGTAAGGATTTTTGTTTCTTTATGTCGAGGTATAATTCAGACTGAAGGCCACAGTCTTTGATCTTCATCAGTAAGTGCTTCAAGTCCTCTTTGCTTTCAGGAAGCAAGTTATGTCATCCACATATCGCAGGTACTTAATGAGTCTTCTTTCAATCCTTCACATTTTCTAGATGATTGGATTATTTGCTCAACACACACATTGACTCACCATGACTCATACCTTTCCTGATTTTAAAAGACTCAGTATCCCCTTTTTCTGTTTGGACAACTTCTTCTCTATGTACAAGTTCCACATAAACATAATGAAGTGTTCTGGAATTTCTATTCTTTGCAATGTTATCCATAATTTGTTATGATCCACAGAGTCAAATGTCTTTGCATGGTCAAGAAAACACAGGTAAACAAATTTCTGGTATTCTCTGCTTTTAGCTAAGACCCACCTGTTATCAGTCATGATCTCTCTCATTCTATGTCCTCTTCTAAAACCAGCTTGAATTTCTTGCATTTTCCTGTTGACGTACTGCTGCAACATTTTTGTATTATTTTCAGCAAAATTTTACTTCAGCATATTAATGATTTGTTTGACAATTTCTGCAACATCTTCGGAATGGGCACAAATATGGATCTCTTCTAGTTGGTTAGCCAGGTAGCTGTTTTCCAAATTTCTTGGCATAGACAAGTGAGTGCATCCAGCATTGCATCCATTTGTTGAAACACCACAATTGGCATCTGTCAAATCCTGAAGCCTTCTTTTTTGCCAATGCTTTCAGTACAGCTTGGACTTCTTCCTTCAGTACTATCAGTTCTTGATCATATGCTACCTCTGGAAATGGTTGAATGCCGACCAATTCTTTTTTGGTACAGGGACTCCATCCTTCCATCTTCTTTTGATGCTTCCTGCATTGTTCAATAGCTTGCCCATAGAATGTTTCAATATTGCTACTCAAGGCTTGACTTTTTTTCTTTAGTTCTTTCAGCTTGAGAAATGCCAAGTGTGTTCTTCCATTTTAGTTTTCTAATTCCAAGGTTTTGCACAGTTCATTATACACTTTACTTTGTCTTCTTGAGCCACCCTCTGAAATCTTCTGTTCAATTCCTTTACTTCATCGTTTTGTCCTTTTGCTTTAGCTATTCTGTGTTGAAGAACAAGTTTCAGAGACTCTTCTGACATTCATTTTGGTCTTTCTTTCCTTTCTGTTTTTAAAAATCTTTTTAATGACCTTTTTCTTTCTTCATACATGTCCTTGATATTATCTCACAACTCATCTGGTTTTGGTCATTAGTGTTCAATGTGTCAAATCTATTCTTGAGATGGTTTCAAATTCAGGTGTTGTTGTTGTTGTTATGTGCTATTGAGTCAAACCCGACTCATAGCGACCCCTCCCTGGGTTTCCGAGAGATGGTTTCAAATTCAGGTAGGATACACTTAAGGTCATATTTGGGCTCTCATGGACTTGTTTTAATTTTCTTCAGCTTCAACTTAAACTTTCCAAGAGCAATTGATAGTCTGTTTTACAGGCAGCTTCTGGCCTTGTTCTGACTGATGATAGTGAACTGCTCCATCATCTTTTTCCACAAACATAGTTGATTTGATTCTTCTGTATTCCATCTGGTAAAGTACACATGTATAGTCACCGTTTATGCTGGAAAAAAGGTATTTGCAATGAATAAGTCATGGATCTTGCCAAATTCTATCATGCAATCTCTGACATCACTTCTATAACCAAGGCCGTATTTTCCAACTACTGATCCTTCTTCTTAGTTTCCAACTTTTGGGTTCCAGTTACCAGTTATTAATCAATTCACCTTGATTTTATGTTTGATAATTTCAGGCTGCAGATATTGGTGAAAATCTTCAAGTTCTTCATTTTTGGCATTACTAGTTGGTGCTTAAATTTGAATAATAGTTGTATTCATTAGTCTTCTCTGTAGGCCTATGAATAACTTGTAACACTGTACTCTGGGATAGATCTTGAAATATGCTTTATAACGAAGAATGTGACACCAGTCCTTTCCAAGTTACCATTAACAGTAGATGTAATTGTCCAATGCAAAATTGCTATACCAGTCCTTTGCAGGTCATCAATGTCTACGATATTGATTTTTATGTGTTACATTTCATATTTGATGACTTCCAATTTTCCTAAATTCATGCTTCATACATTCCATGTTCCAATTATTAATGGATGTTTGCAGCTGTTTCTTTTCATTTTGTGTTTTGTCACATCAGCAAATGAAGGTCCAGAAAGCTTTACTCCATTCATGTCATGAAGGCCAACTCTATATTGAGGAGACAGCTCTTCCCTAGCAGTATTTGGAGTACCTTCCATCCTGAGGAGAAGGTATTATAATAGAGAGTGTTCCACTACTATTCATAAGGTTTTCAGTGGTCAATGCTTTAAGAATTAGATTGCTATGTCCTTCTTCCTAATCTACCTTAATCTGGAAACTCTGTTGAAAGTCTACCATGGTGACTCTGCTTGTATTGAAATACCAGTGGCATAGCTTCCAGTATTACAGAAACACACAAGCCACCACAGTATGAGAAACTGACAGATAAGTAGTGGTTTTTGCTCTAATTTATGGGAATGAAAGAAGCCAAAATTGCTTGAAATAGCCAGAATATTTCCTTATGAGACTTTGTGATGACTGTCTATTGGATTTGACTCAATATAAATTTCTTAGCTATGTCTTACTGATACATACTCTACTCAGTAACTTCAAACTCACCAGTCTGCAAAAATAGCAAAAGATGAAGCTGCAATAGAATTCCAAAGGTAATAAAGAATCACATTTTAAGAGCCTAGACACGTAAAATAACCATTATTACTTTGATGTGCTAATTCAATGAGGGTAGGCAGATTATAAATTATACTAATAAATGATACTGGTTTTAATAAAAGATAAAGATATGCCTCAGACAAAAATCATCTTGCCATATTTTATAATCTTTACGCATCTCTTTGCCATGGGATAATAAATAATTTAATGACTAATGTGAAAAAATTCTCCACCACCCAAGTATGCTGCATATCCTGTGAACCATTTTATGTCTTTAAGGACTAGATATTTCTTGGTCTAGCAAAATTTTTATTGTTCCTTGGAAAAATAATGTGCTTTGAGAGTGTATTAATCTAGAAATCATGAAAATGAGAACCAATGAAGTGAGATGCTAATTGAACAATGACTTTCCAAATTCAGTTATTTTTTCTTTCATTTTAAATGTGGCCTTCATTCATCAAAATCAAAAAGAGGAAAAATTGAAAAAATGACCCGTTTGTGAAACTTGGAAATGGTGATTTAAAAAAGTCTGCATAGAAAATTATTGCAGAAGGAAAGATGAATACAAACATTAATGTTCAATGCAGCTTCAAGGGTGTGTTGAGGTCTGAGGCCACTGCTCTGATTGCCATATCATCCCAGTGCAAAAAAGACTAAAGCTTACCTGGTCCAATAGTTAAAGGCGAGCCTGTTCGGGGTGGTGTGGCTGGTACATTTTTAGGAGGCAGTGGTGGAGGTGCTGCAGAGAGAAGACAAGTCTAGCATTATTGCTAACTTTCTTTCTAAATTACATAACATTTTTGATAAGCAGGATTTGGGCTTTCATTCAGATTCCTCTGGTTGAAATTAGACTAGCTACTTAATGGTCTGAATGATTTAAGTTCAAAAGAAAGGGACTAAAACAATACCCATTAAGATTCTTCTGTTTTATGAAAATAGTAATTTATCAAAATAATATCAAGTGGAAACAATAATATTACCATTTTATTCATGCATTAAACTCATTTGATAAACCTTAAGTGCAACAAAGTTCCATGTCCTGTAAGAACTAGGAACATAGGACTGAATGAAAACAGCTTCTGCCCTCAGGGAATTAATGACTGAATAATGGATACCATGTAAAAAGGCAATTACAAACCAGGATATAATAAAGAAAATAACTGGCTGGACTATAAAAACAGCTCATGAGGAATTTTTAATCAACTCAGGATATTATTGCCTTGACTGAGTATGGGAAAATTTCTCAAGGTTATACTCTTTAAATTTTACTCATTTTTGAAAGTCGGAAGCAAAATGATTTGGATCAAGGAAGAATTAGAAGATTTCTTCAGTAAAAACTACAGCCAAACAAATTTCTGATGTAGAAAAAAACATCACATTATAGCTCCTACCCAAATATTCACCTTTCTGAATTGGGCTTGTCACTACTTTGTGGGCAAATTTAAGAAATATTATTTCAAAAGATAACACTTTTTTTTTTTTTTTTCCTGTTCTGTCTTTAAATGTGTATTTTCTTGTCATGGCCATATCTGATAGATCAAAGAGCTCACACTAATTACAAGGCATCTCAAAGTTCACTCATGAATCTGAACACGGTTCAATCTTTCATATTCTAGGAGTTCCTTGGAGGTAATGCTAACTGAAAAGTTGAAGGTTCAAGTTCACACAGAGACACCTTGGAAAAAAGATGTGGTGATCTGCTTCTGAAAAAATAGCCACTGAAAAATCTATGGAGCACAGTTCTACTCTGACACACATGGGGTAACCACGAGTGTTAACTCCCTTTTCATAACTAAAATCAGAGTGAGTCAGGAGGGCACTTAGCAAAAAAGCTCTTCTCAGTACCCTACCCTCCAACTATGTACATTACGAAGAGCCTCTTTTGTCATTACCTCCCTTTCTATCTTCCATCTATGTATTGTGGAGACTACCCTGTCTGTCCACACAACAGGCACAACTAACAGCTACCATAGTAAAGTATAGAAATACGTAGTTTTAATCTTAGTTGTGAGCTTCTGTAAACTACACCTCAAATGATCATGATTCCTCACAAGAGCCAAGAGTCAGTGAGAGACTCTGTTTTTGATTAAAGATTTTTGCCTAAAATCAATCAAGATCATAATCAACAAAATATCCTACAAGCAAATAAAAACTCATAAAAGCATAATAATTTAAAAGAGCACCATGCATGAAATGGGCAGAGTTATACAATACGCATGAATTCTACAACAGTTTCTGCTGTGCTGGTAAGTGTTAAGTACAGCCCATAAAACTCACAATTCAAAAACACCAATCAAAAAAAACCAAACTCGCTACCGTTGAGTCGATTCAACTCATAGTGGCCCCTCCTTGGGATTCTAAGGCGGTATCACTACAGAAGTAGATTGCCCAATCTTCCTTCTGGGGAGTGGCTGGTGGGTTTGAACCTCCAGGCTTCTGGTTAGCTGTCAAATGCTTTAGGCACTACACCACCAGAGCTCTCAAAAAACACCAATAATTGCAGGTTCCGGCAAGATGGTGGACTAGGCAAAAAGACTGCACAGACCCTCTTCAACAAAGAAAAGGGAAACCAATTAACACAGACACAGA